ATCCATTCTTTCTGTAAAAACATTAAAACAACACAAATACAGAATACTCCAATATACATGGTACTATAAGCCTAACTATACCTTTTGTGCATGAATGTTTTTTTTTTCCTTTTACGTCAGTAGTATACGTACCATATAATGCTGCTCCGATTCAGTCCAGCTAGCTTGTGCCAATATAAATATACAATCTCTTCATACAGACTTCTTGGTGGTGGCCGTGGCGGCATTATCATCGGCGGCGTCCTTTTTAGCCCTGACGGCGACCGTGCCATCGTTGCCGGCGAGCTTCATGTACTTGTCCTTCCTGGTGAGCGTGGTGCACTGGAACCCGAGCTCCTTGGCGATGACCCTCTGCACGTGGTTAGCCACGTCCACGGCGCTCCTCCCGCCGGCGCCGCACGTCTCCTCCGGCCGCAGCGGCGGCAGGAACGTGACGTCGTACCCGGGCCGCGGGTTCATGTAGAAGAAGTACGGGTCCAGCCACTTCCACCCCCTCGCCGTCGACCCGTAGTAGGTCCCCTGCCGCGCCTCCATCGCCACGGGCACGATCCGGTCCGTGAGCTCCGCGAACAGCGCCGAGAACCGCAGCAGGCAGGGCTCCCGGCACGTGGTCCCCTCGGGGCACACCACGACGTCGCCCTCCGCCAGCAGCGCCGCCATGCGCGCCGCGTCGGTGGCCCTGTCCCGCGACAGCGCCACGGCCCGGATCGGCGAGATCGCCGTCGAGAGGCGGCTCGCGCTGTACGTAACGCACGCCACGGGCCGACCCAGCGCCACGGACAGGATGATCGGGTCCAGCGCCGTGCGGTGGTTGCACACCAGCAGCGACCCCGGCGCGCCCGGCGCCGGGGGCGGCGGCGGCGTCCCGCGGACGCGGAGCCGGATCCCCGTCAGGCGGTACGTGTGGCGGACCAGGCGTAGCGGCATCATGAGGTTGAAGAAGACGCGGAACAGCGCCAGCAGGAAGCCCACCGGGAGGTAGGCCAGCGCGAACAGCGCCTGCGCCGGGTCCGGGCGCTGGACGAGGCGGCCGTCGTGGAAGACAGCGCGGGACAGCAGAGTGTCGGCGGCCGCACGCGGCGCGCGCTTGTCCGGAGGCACCATGTAAGCTTCCTGCACACCATATGTACAGGGCGGATTATTTACAGCAATCAGTCAATTAGTATCTTTTTTTTTGTTCTTTTAGGAAGCAGTCAAATAAGGTCTAAAATTACCAGACTAATCATGTGCCATAAATTATCATTTACTACTATACATTTAGTCAAATAAGGTTAGCTTATTCTAAAATTAGAATTGTATCTTTTTTGACCGGAGGTGTACTATATCTCAAAATCATCTTCTTCATCTCTTTTTTTCCTAGACTGCTGTAGAAACTTTATTAGTAGAAAGGTTTGCAGCCACACAGACAAAAGATGTGACAGCTGGTGCTACAAGAACAAGTATGGCATTTGTTTGGCTTGATAAGGCAAAGAAGAACAAATCCTAGTGCTTGCTTGCTTACTAAGCCCAAAGTCATAATTTAATCCACCTGATTGCATCGAAAAGCTTCTCAAATTTTTGTAATAAATAAGCAACCAAAAAGCCTGGATAGTTGAAGGCAATTCATTACTCCTGTACCTTGCAGATGGCCATGAAGTCGTGGTCGCTCTCGCGGTCCCCGAGCCCGACGTCGGGCATCTCCCCACCGGCGAAGAGCCTCCGCACGACCTCCGCCTTCCTCTCCCCGACGAGCACGGCCTTGATCCTCCCCGTGAACCTGGTGCTCCCCAACGCGCAGAAGGTCTCGAGCTCGGTCCCGGCGACCTCGGCGCCGAGGAACTCGCGGACGAAGTCCCCCACCATGACGGCGGGGGACGCGGTGACGACGACCCTCCGCCCCTCGCCGCAGCCGCGGAACACGTCCCAGGTGTCGGCGCGCACGCCGGCCGCGTAGTGCCGCGGCAGGACGCCCCGGGCGACGGCCTCGACGTCGCGCACGCGGAGCCCCGCGAACGTGACGAACGCCAGCAGCGCGATGGCCGCCGCCTCGGAGACCAGCGTGTAGAGCGCCAGCAGGAGCGGCGCGACGAGGAGGAGCGCCAGCGCGCGGACGCAGGAGCCGGCCTCGAGTGCTACGAGGAAGTAGTAGGGGAACGCGGACGAGGATGCTAGCAGCGTGCCGTCCAGGTCCGCGGCGGCGGTACGGCGGACCCGCGCCGACGCGTCGTAGGACGACACCGGAGGGAACCTCGCGCTCGTGACGGGACGCGCGGGGGCCATGGCGCGGTCCGGTTCGTGGCGCCCCGTGGCGAGGTTGAGGAGGAAGACGATGGCGTGTGGTGTGGTGTGGGCCGGAAAAGGTTGGGACTTGGCAGGCGACTATATGGTTGGTGTCGCGGCGGCGGCGGTGGCTGCGTTTGTTGAGCGGCCCAACGCTGCGGTGGACGGAGGGATTTATATGTAGGACGGGGCAGGCAGCAGAGGCGGTGATCGGAGTCGGAGCAGAGAAGGGAGGAGGAATCCGAGCAGGCGTGGAGTTGGGTGGGGGATCGGATTCCGAGTCGAGCTCGCGCACATGAATCAGGCGTTGGTGCCCGGATTGGGGTGGCCTCAAAGGGGAACGAACGTGAAAGGCGCGTGAAGAACAGACAGTGAGAGACAGACTGACTGACTGGCGAGATGACAGAGAAGAAGAGAAACAGATGGATGGAGAACAGATTACAAACTAGGCGTCGTATCTGTGGTCAGACTTGGCAATCTGCAGGCCAATCCGGACTTTGATTTTTGCCGTTGACCGAGCCGACGTGGATTTCATTCACGGGGATTACTGTAGATTACAGTACAGTACGCTCCGTTGTGCTCCTGCTGCTCCATTGAAGTGGCTAGTTCGCTTGGCGACCGTAAATTTCGCTTTGTAGTAATGACGGATTCTATAAAATTTTTTATATAATATCCATCCCGTCTACGGCCTCGACACCACACCTCCTACCTTTTCAGGATGGATACGGTGGGTGACCTTCGCCTGGATCGATGGCGATGGATCATCTCTAGACGTCAGTGTCTTTCGCAGGAGCAGCAGGCGGCCGATCACCAACATTTCTCTAACTCCAGCTTTCCTTCCTTCCTCCACCGTAATAGTTCATAGATATCATCTATACGTCCCACGTATAAAGTGTTCTTTATTCATGTATTATCTCCCCTATCAAGTACTCCGGATACATAAATAACTTAAAAGCATGTATCCGGATACATAAATAACTTAAAAGCATGGAGCAACTTATCAATAAAGTGTTGTTCTATTTTATGCTCTCTTTTAGCTCCTTCGCCTCCTACCCCTTGTGGTCGCGGAGTAGGAGTCCGTGTCTGCAGCTGGAGTCGCCAGCGCGCATGGAGGGAGGCAGCCCTCGGCTTCCATCTAGGCGGTGCGATGGCCCACAAATCTCGACGACACGTGCGGTGCTATACTCGCTCCATGACGGTCATAGGGGCGTGGAGGATGTGATGGCCGGTACCGATCACCGTGGCTACGGAAACAAACTCATTTGCTGGGAGTTCATTTTTTTAGGTGGGAGACTGACTATCGGGGGAGATGCAACTCTCCTTTATTTGAAGGAGACGAAGAAAATATTAATGGACACGGAAAAAAGTAAAGAGTTATTGAGGGGTTTGGACGTTTGGTGGAGTAGAAAAAAAAATCACGTCTTTCCCAATACAATAGTTTTATGATTGAGTGTTGCTGGAGTTGTCTTCCCGCTGGTACAAATATTTTTTTTTAATCCCTCCTTCAAATGGTCACTACGCCTACAACTAGCCATTGGTGATAGCATGGAAAAATAAAATGATGAAAGGAAGCATCACATCACTGTAGGGCCCTGCATGAAACCTTCCTGCCTGCCTACCGTCCGTGTAGCCGTAGCTTACCAACCAGTTACCAGCCAATCCATAGCAGATTCCGACAAAAGAAGCTGCCGACAGTTTCCTTCTCTGCCCGTTGGTTGTGGACGAGCTCACGAATCATGATCATGAGTCCATGACATGACATGCTAAACAGGCTGGCAGGTCCAGGTCCGGGCTCATCTCGTTCCCAGCCGGAGACGTGGTTCCTGTGTGGATGCACGAGAAACATCTCCAGTTCCTGTAACTATAGTACACACGTGGACAATTGAGCTGAAACAGGTTCATATGAATCGTAGATATAAATTGTAGCTGCCACTCCGACACAAAGATCAGAGTGGCGCAGCGGAAGCGTGGTGGGCCCATAACCCACAGGTCCCAGGATCGAAACCTGGCTCTGATATGTTTTTGTTATTTTACCTCCGATTTGGGGTTTTTTTTTTCTCTATACGATTTGATTCTCCGATTCGGCTTTCCTCCCCTCCGATTTCAATTTGGGTTTCCCTGTACGATTTGATTTTTCTTTTGCTTTATTACACACACCACACATCTCAATCGATATGCTCTTGCAGTCACATCACACCTCATAATCGTAACCTTAACGAACGAACGATATCACCTGCGTATACAAATCATAAGCTACTCTGCGATCGACATCGAAACCTAGTCACAATTTCAACATTACACCGATAGCACAACGAAACCCTCATGTGCCAAGAAAGATAAAGCGCATGCGCATATGACGGTCAATGCACATCGCCGCCCACCTCTGCAGAAGTTGGAACACTGAACCAAGATCGATCTCAAATAGAGACATACTATACCAGAACAAGCATCACATTCGCAGGTATCAATCCCATCGGCCATGTTCAGATATCCATCAGGCACGTACAGTACTCAACAAACAGGCTCAAATATTTTTCTTACAGCCAGCAGTCCAAAAAGAGCACAAATAACAAGAGAACCAAAACAAATCCTAACTAGTTGTTGGCTGTACGTGGAGTCCAGCCTTATTGAATTCACATCACAGTATATATGTGCATGAATCATCCCCACTAGCCAAATGTTCGGCCAACGAGGATAGTCAGTTACAACATACACTCGGCATCAAGCTTAGATGCACACCTTCAGATGGTGATCACCGTGCACCTCTCCGGCGTCAAGTCCTCCTCAACCAATGGGCCTACAGAAGTGGTAACCAGGAACCCATCTACTCTCGCCGCTGTGTCCACATCAACTGTGACTATACTCAGCCCTCTTCCAATCACATGAATCTTCCTGCCAATGGCCACAAGCGCGCAAGGGGGTCTTGTGACTTTGTCGGAGAGCCTACCGAGCGTGGCCCACTCCTTGGTGTCCTTCTGCCACCTCATCAGCTTCGTGCCCATCGACTGCTCCAGCATGTACAGTGTTCCATCCACCACAACTGTCGGGCTGGAGCAGCAGAGAGCGATTTCGTTTTCCGTGCCTCTCCAGGTGCGGTCCAGCGGGTCGTATATGCCGGCGAAGTACATTCTGTTCCACGCTGCCCGGTGAATGGTCACCAGCTCCTCGTCCAATGCCACGAATTTTACTATGTCAGGGGTGAGCATTGGGTTCTTGTGGGCGCACCACGAGTCTGTGGCCGGGTCATAGATGTCCCATGAATTTGGTGACTTGTCTGTCAAACCATATCCACCAGTTATGTACAGTTTCTCATTAAGCGACGCAGACACAAAATAGCACCTGAAAGTGAAGCAACAAAGCATAAGGAATTGGTCCCCAATTTGCAAAAGATGCTATATATGGTGTTGCTTAAGGAAGAACATGACATACTATATATAGGTACTGTTATAGGGAAAACATGAGATGCTATATATAGGCACAGATTAAGGGAATACACATGGCATGGTATTTATAATTATATAGGTATGGCTTGAGGGTGAATAAAATATGAGAATGGACTTTATCGATTAAGTACCTTGCAGTAGGCATTGGAGCTGCTGCGCTCCAGCGATTTGATGAGGCGTCATAACAATATACTTCATCCGTAGCATCATGTACGTAACTGCAACCACCCAGAAGAAATAGCCTTTTGTCTAAGGCTTCAATGGTAACACCTTTCCTCCCTGAGCATGGGGGTTCAATGATATGCATGATTCTAAAGCACCGACTTGAAGGGTCTGGAGCCAACACATAGCATTTGATGCCTGCCTCCCTACAGATTACGTAGACCCATGACTCGTCCAAGTTATTCCTCTTGCGGCACAAGTGCCATTCTTCACTGCATAACAGTGATCTCCACCTCTTTGAGACACGCCTGAGAACATTATGATACCGCCTAGGAACTCTTGCCAAGCAAATGAGAGCGATCTCATCAGGAAGTCCATGTATAAGAGGGGTATGACCAGGAGCTGATTCCATGCCTCTATCGAACAGCTTTCCAAAATGCACTACTTTTGTGACGGTTGATCATCCTGACAAAAGGATTAAGTGTTAAGAAATATGCAGTGCTAGCATAAAAGGTAAATTGAAAACAAAATTCCAATAAGATGACTTCAGCACGAAAGGCCACCATCACATCATTGCAGTAAAACATAGCTGAGAGAAAACCACTTCCAAATATAGTTGACAGCACAAGTTAGAATGTGTAATAACAAGAACATAGAGCTGGGAGCAATTTCTCATCAATAAGAAAGTTCAGTTTAAGCAGTAAAGCTCATGGACAAGTACTGTACAAAACTACAAAGTGCAATAACCAACTACAATGGAAAATTTTAGAGAAGTCACAAGATTAGAAAACATGGTTAAAAAGTGAGCAAGCAAACCCAAATAAAGATTCAACTTATATATCAAGACTGCTAGGTATATGAAATAAACAAGGAATCTTCTTAAAGATTAATATCTGAAATAAGCAGGCAATGGTAGCCAAAACTCACATGGAAGCCAATTATTATTTTTTGAGATAAATATAACTGGATTGCACATATAGGAACACAAGGATGCTACAAATGGATAAATGAAACAAACATAGAAGAAAGTGGCAACACAGTATTTTTTTCAGAAAACAAACAGTGACTGCCTTCCTTATTACTTACAATAAGAATTCTGTCAGCTTGGATGTAATCATAGGTACCATCCACGAGAAATCATCATAGCAAATTATATATAGAAGATGACAACTGTGATTGTAAATAGAAAACAGCAATAAATCTTATAGTAACATTGGGAAAGTTAAGCATGCATTTACATCAATCAGGTTGAACAAAAAGGGTAAACCATCAGTTGGGTTCTTTGGTGATATGTCTGGATTTGCTCAGAAACCATATTCAGTCTCGGTATAATCAGAAGAGGTACACTTAAAAGCTACCCCCTTCAGATACCGTCCTAATAATAGTCATCATGGCAAATATACAGAACAAGCATGATCCAAGAAAGGACACAGAAGAAGACAACCGTCCTAGGAAATCGAATATGGCAATCCTGATGCCATAATAGTGTTATCACTGGGAAAGTGAAGAATGCAGCTACATCAATCAGGTTGATCAAAGAGGGGGCAAATCATTGGCTGGGTAACTGAGTTCTAAAGTGGTATGGCTGGATTTGCTCAGAAACCATATTCAGTTTGGGTATAATCAGAAGGGGTGCACTTAGCCATCCCCTTAAGATACCGTCCTAATAGGAAACATCACGGCAAAACGAGAACAAGCATGACCTAAAAGAGAGCATAAAATAAGAACAAAATTTGGCACACATTTATATGAATCAGGTTGAACAAAAAGGGTAAACCATCAGTTGGGTTCTTTGGTGATGTCTGGATTTGCTCAGAAACCATATTCAGTCTTGGAATAATCAGAAGAGGTACACTTAAAAGCCACCCCCTTCAGATACCGTCCTAATAGTAGTCATCATGGCAAATATACAGAACAAACATGATCCAAGAAAGAACAAAGAAGAAAACTGTCCTAGGAAATTGAATAGGGCAATCCTAATGCCATAATAGTGTCGGCATTGGGAAAGTGAAGAATGTAGCTACATCAATCAGGTTGATCAAAGAGGGCAAATCATTGGCTGGGTAACTGAGTTCTACAGTGGCATGGCTGGATTTGCTCAGAAACCATATTCAGTTTTGGTATAATCAGAAGGGGTGCACTTAAAAGTCATCCCCTTAAGATACCGTCCTAATAGGAGTCATCATGGCAAAAAGAGAACAGGCATGACCCGAAAGAGAGCACAAAAGAAGACAAAACTGTGATAAGAAATAGATAAGACAATGACAACTCAATAAACCATGCTGTCACTGGGAAAGCAATGAATGTAATTACATCAATCAGGTTGATCAAAACAGGGTAAATCATTGGTTGGGTCCTTCGACAGTATGGTTGGATTTGCTCAGAAACCATGTTCAGTTTTGGTATAATCGGATGGGATGCAATGAAAAATCACCCCCTTCAGATACCGTCCTAATAGGAGTGATCATAGCAATCATCCATAGATAAGCATTACATGTACAATAAATCCGGTGTGGAAAAACATGTACAATAAATCAAAATATTACTAAAAAGCTACAATATCTTTTAAGAGAAGGAATGATCAGACCGGCAAAATAACTTTGCTAAGAAGTCATTCAATTTTATTAGATATAAAGTAAGACAATCCTTGCACTTGCACTAGTTATCAAGGCAAACAATTGCTGTGAAAAATAGCTCATGTTCACACATTCACAAAAACTAAAAAGATGTAATCAGTTGCAAAACATTTAACCCAAGGAGCACAAAACAAAAGGCAAGGAAAAGCTTTCACAGCACTGCATTGCTGGAATGTTTAAGTTTGCTCAGATGTTCAGTCTCAATTTTGGATGTAATCATGCAAGGACCAGCCATTCGAGAGCCACCTTGTTCAGATACCGTCCTTGTACAAGTCATCACCACCAGCTAGGGATTGCATAAAACTGACACCTAAATAATAAAATCTGAAAGCTTGTATGGTAGGGACTAGAAGGTGCCAAAAGAAACATATGGTTGACATAAAAGAAAGTATAGGATAGCATTTTGATGTAGAGCTCAACTAGGACAATCAGACAATGCTTGCTGATGAATAGAGGACAGCACCTGTTTGCTCAGAATCTCATTCAGATTGGTTGTAATCAAAGAAGGGGCACCATTTTAAGAGCCACCGTACTCAGATACCGTCCTTGTAGATGTCATCACGGCAAACAAGTGAACGGGAAAGCATAAAACTCCACGACAGCATTTTTGACCAAACATCAGGGGAACAGGATAAACTACTAGGATTGATTAAAGATACTTGCTCAGACAATTTGTCTCAGATCAGGTATAATCATGCGAGGATAATAGTTGCCTCGCTCAGATACCGTCCTTTGCAAGTCATCACAGCGATTTCCAGCGCAAAAACAAAACGCACAGTAAATCTCCACTTAACTACCTCCTAAAATCAAGGGTTTCCAGTGCAGTACGGCCACTACTCCATACCCAAAATCAGTTCATAAACGAATACGCCTACCGTGACCAGACAATCGCGGCAATGAACCAAAGAGAATTACACCATCCACCGACAAGGATACGACACGGTACCATAAAACAGGAATGAGGAATCACCCGCTGCGCCCAATCTGAAGCGAAGCAGAGAAGCAGGGGCGGGCGGTGGATGAGACAGGTTTGGGCGGGGCCGCGGCAAGAGCAAAGTTCGATCTGGATTCCGGTTGACGCGGGGCCGCAGGTGGGGGGCGGAGCCGCCGCCGCCGCTCGGGAAGGGATTAGGGTTCCGGCCGTGGGCGCAACAGAGAGCCGGGCCAGATGCGGAGGCGGAGTGCTTGCTGCGAGGGCCGCTCTTCTTTATGCTTGCTGAGGAGGATGGTGATTATTCACTAATCGCCTTTCAAAAGTTACATTATTCTAATCCGGTCCAATTATTGTTCTTCCCCTGCCTTGCAGTGCAAAGGTTATCGAATTAGGGGTACCCAAACGCAAAGTCGTCAACATATTTATCGCGCCCATCCCGCGGGAATACTGAACTGCAAAAAGTCCAAGGGGGGCAAACAGAAAAGTGAGCCCCAAACCCTAGACCCCAATGGAAGCGTGGCCGCCTCTCGCCCCCGCGGCGGCAGCCGCCGCCACCCCGACCGCCGCCGCCTCAGACGATGCGGCGGCTGCTCCGGCCGGTGCCGGGGCGTGGGGAGCAGCGGCGACGGCGCAGCGGAAGGCCGTGGAGAAGGAGTCGGCGGCGCAGGCGGTGAGCCGCATCGTGGCGAGCTGCGCCAACTCCAGCGGCGTGGCGGTCGCCGTGGTGGACGCCAACGCCGTCATCTCCGGCGGCTCCGCTCTCTCCACCTCCGCGGGGCGCCTTGTAACCGTGCCGGAGGTGCTCGAGGAGGTCCGGGACGCGGCCGCGCGGCGGCGGCTCGGGCTCCTCCCCGTCCCCGTCGAGACCGTTGAGCCTGCGCCGGAGTTCGTTAAGAAAGGTCGCTGCTCTAGTCGCTCGAATGCATCATGAATCTGAGTTAAATCTCTCTCGCACTAGTGCTCGGGGCGAGTTCTGATGATATCATTGTTGATTGAATTAATGCTAAGACTTCTTGATTGAATTAGTAATTTATCGTCCTACATTAATTGCCACTGATATCATTGTTGTTTGCTTTCTTAGTTACTGTGATGATCATAGTAAGAAAGTGTCAACAAGAGATGACATTTAAACATTAGTCTTTTGCGACAAATATTCTTGGTCTGGGCACTATATATGTGAGACTTATTTTTGTATCCTTATTGCTTGCAGTTACCAAGTTTGCCAGGGAGACAGGAGACATCCAGACGCTTTCAGATGTTGATATCAAGATTATTGCTTTGGCTTACATGTTAGAAGCTGAGATCCATGGGACTAGCCATTTGCGGGAGCACCCTCCTCCTTTGCGTGAGGTGAATGTCAGAAAGCTGTCAGAAGCTCCACTGCCTGGTTGGGGCTCTAATGTACCTAACCTGAAAGAGTGGGAAGAGTTGGATCAGATGTCTGAAGCTGGTGGAGATATCAATTCTCGAATACTTCCTCTGAAGGATATTGAGAATCAAGATATCCCGATGAGCAAGTCCAACAGTGTCTGTGAGGCACAAGAGGATACAGAGCACCGACCTTCAGAGAAGGATGCACCTGTTGCATGGGAGGAAGATGAGAACAATGTAGGCTGGATGCCTGCTGTTAGCCGCAGCACCCACAGAAGATATTTGCGGAGGAAGGCAAGGCGTGATGCCCTCAAGGAATCTGGACAAAGTTTTGAGACAAGTTCTGTTGCTCCATCAATTGATGATGATAAAGTTCTCTCTGAAAATAGTGGATTGGAGCATGGTCTGACTTCATCAGATGGCCTTTCTTCTGTCCCTGAGAAAATCAGTGCAAGTTCTGATGGTTTTGATGAACATCAAGCAGAGAATGACACTGAAATTGCTGGAGAACATTTGCATTCTGACCAGCTAGCTTACGGTGATGATACTGACGCGTGCACCAAAGAATTGGATAACCTAGATATAAAAGGTGAGGATGAGGGAGGTGATGATGCACATTCCATAGATGATGAGAGCAGTGAGCAGAGTTGGACCCTGAGGTCCTTATCCGAATCAACTGTAGCATGTGTTACTAGTGATTACGCCATGCAAAATGTCATCCTGCAGATTGGCCTCCGTCTCATAGCACCAGGTGGCATGCAGATACGACAGATGCATAGGTATGTGAATTAACATCTTCAGACCTGTTTGGGTAGTGGGTACAATAGTGCTCTCCAAGCCAATGTTGTATTTTTGGCCCACTAACACATGTATTATTATGCTTCTGTGACAGGTGGGTTTTGAGGTGCCATGCTTGCTATAAGGTGACCCAAGAGGTTGGCAAAATATTTTGTCCGAAGTGTGGCAATGGTGGGACCTTACGGAAGGTTTCAGTAACTGTTGGTGAAAATGGGATCACTATGGCTTCACGGCGCCCACGGGTTACACTTCGAGGCACAAAAGTGAGTGTATTTATGCTGCTTGTCTTTCTAACGGTCTAGACTCGTGTTCTGCAACTTCTCTGATCTTGTGTGGTTGTAGTGGAGGGTGGTTCATTACTTGATTGGTTATTTTCTGTATTGCTCTGCTCACACCCTTTTACATGTCTTCCTCGACCGTGTGGTCTATTTTCATGCTTGTAATGTTAATGACGTCAGGAGTACAGTAGTGAGGAACAGTTTCCGAGAAAAAATGGCGAAGAATATTTGGATATTTGGTCTGATATTGGCAGTCACATACCTGGCAATATGGTCTCTTCCTAGACTGTACATTTCTTGTAGTGTGGTGTCTTTAGTAAGGACATTCATGTTTGTTTTGAGATAGCTTTAATTCCTTCATTGCAATTATCTTTGTATTGGTCCACCTGAACTTTTTTACAGAGTCGATTACTCGATTCCTGAGAATGCCAGAGATGTTGTTTGTAACTGTTTACCTGTTTGCTTGCAGTTTTCCCTCCCAATGCCCCAAGGTGGAAGAGATGCCATAACTAAGAACCCCATTCTTCGTGAGGACCAACTTCCTCAGAAGGTTCTTCATCCTAAATCGAAGAAGTCCAGCAAGGTTAGTGCTCTAGCATTTCTTTTTGTGCATATTGAAAAGTGTTATCAGAATAAGGTAATGAGGATACATGCACAACAAACTGTGGACTACTAAATGAACACAACAAAAAAAGTTTATGTTATCCTGTGATATTATATTTCTATGTGGTCTATTGTCAAGTATGCATTCCCACGTTTGTTGCTGTTACAAGTTGTTCAGTACCTGTTACGACTTGTGATGAGGTTCGTTTAGGATCAAAATCTGACTGAGTTTCACTATAGGAGGATGATTTCTTGGGCGTCGACGACATATTTTCGCACAGTGGTGATAAGAAGGCACAACAGAAACCTCCAGTGAGGAAGGCACTCGCAATGTTCAGTGGGAAAAGAAATCCAAACGACAACCACTTTTCTCGCAAGAAGCACTAAGCTCTCACCTGTCATCTTTTTTATGCACGCCTACGGTACCGCAGTATGTAATCTCAGCATGTAATGGTTGAAGCAGAGTAACTTATTTCTTGTTAGTGGCGGAGAGTCATCATATAAGCATGTAAGCTATGCGGTTTTGCAGCATCTATGTATGGTTTCCGTGCTACTGTTTCTCCAATGGATTTGAATTTTGAGTTTGAATATCCACATGGATTTGGTGTGTAATCGAGCAGCAACGAACTGTAGCGATTTCCATTGAGCGTGCACATCTGTGAAACGCCGACAAGAACTGAAGAGCATGAGGTGATTACACCGGAAAGTTCTGTCAGTCAGAAGCATTCATAGACTAATCCATAATTACACCTTCACAAACGGATTGGTACGCTTTTTTATTATTAATAATGTAGAAACAAGAATTATGTCCAACCTAGGGTGTGTTCTCTACATCACAATTAATAATTTTCTTACAAAATACAAAAGAAGAAGAAGCAACAAATCCAACAAGTATACCGCTGCATTTCATGCTTACACTCATGCACAACACCAACACTGATCACATTACACCTCCGACATCATCATCATCATAATCATCAGTTCAGAGCTCCTCAGAAGAGCAGATCATCGTTCGTGGAGCTGAATCCACCGTAGATGTCTCCCATGTTGAGCAGGTCAAAGTAGCCATTCCCTGCAAGGCCAGCGGTGGCGGCGGCGCTCTGGTGGTGATCCTGGTGCGTTGGCAGCGCGCCGGCGCCGTAGGTGCCTCTCATCTGGTCCCCGAAGGCGCCCCCCGCCGTGCCCGTGCGACGGCGTCACGTTGCCGGAGCTCGCCGTGGAGGCGGGCCAGTGCGTGGACACCGAGTAGCTCTCCGGCGCCGCCGGCGCCCAGTCCGAGAACACGAAGCTCCGGGCCTGGTGATCGAACGGCTGCTGAGCGAGAGGCGCCGCCGCCGGGGCCGACAGCGCGTGGCTGCCGCTGATGTTGCCATCGTGGTCGTGCGACGTCGTGGTGCTGCTGCCGCCGCCGCCGCTGTTCTTGACGTGGTGGTGCGGGTGCTGGTGCATGGACATGGACATGGACATGGACGACAGCTCGGTGGTGCTCATGGAGGTGAGCTCGGGTGGGCTCTTGGGGCTGGAGTTGGACGACACGCCCTGGGCCTGCATCACCCTCTTCTTCAGGTACGAGTTCCAGTAGTTCTTCACCTCGTTGTCGGTCCTCCCTGGCAGATGCATCGCAATCTGAGACCACCTGATGTATGCACCAATTCATCAGCAACATGAAGTCATGAATATGGTGCGAGATGTTATACTTGCTCTTCTAACAGTTCAAGATTCTTTTTTCTTCTAGCAAGTCCGTTAACTAAAACGCATTTTTTCTCAGTTTTTCAAAGGCCATGCCCTTCTTAGAAATTAACAGCATAAATTTGCATTACAAAATCATTGGGTTGTGAGAGAATTTTACTTGTTGCCCAGCTTGGCTTGGAGGTTGATGACGACGTCTTCCTCCTCCTGAGAGAACATTCCACGCTTCAACCCAGGCCGCAAGTAGTTGATCCAACGCAGGCGGCAGCTCTTGCCATTTCTCTGGAGACCTTTGAGAAAGCAAGTCCATTCAAAAGAAGAAGAAGAAAATAGTCAGACACAACAATGGTAGAATTTGGAGTTGAAAACATGGTGTGAAGCCAAATTCGGACCATCTAATTTGAGGGTCAGAGGCAAATCGAAAGCTAAGCTGTGCTGATTGCAGATGAGGCTAGCATTGAGCATCAGCAGCAGGCTTTTTCTGCATGCATGAGCTTGTCATGCTCATGCATGCAGCAATGTGCAATTGTCATGGAAGGAGAGGAGAGGAGAAAACAAAGAAGAGCAGCAGCTCACCAGCCTTTGCAGGGACAGCACTCCAGCAGCCGAGGCCATGCTTGAGGATGTAGTCCCTGAGCCTCTGGTCCTCCTCAGGAGACCACAGCCCCTTCCGGTAGTTCATCTTGGGCTTCTCGCAGGACCGGCACCCCATTGTCGCTGCCGTCTTGTGTTTCTTCTTCTTCTTCTTCTTCAGGCCTGTGCCTCCTCTTCCTCTGAAGATGAGCTGTTGCAGTAGTAGCAGTCCCTCGGCACCATGTGCCCCTTCTGATTTAAAGGGCTGTCACATTTTGCTTCTTGGTTTAGTTTAATTGAGGGGAATTGAGTAGGTGGCTGCGTGCACATGCTTGAGATTATGAGGGGGGAGCTTGGTCAGAGGATGTCACCTCTATCTCGCCATTACTTACACAAGGAAGATTCTCAGAGAGTTTCTGAGTAAACTTCGGTTTCCTTCTAATGATGATATGAATGCTTGCTGGCACTAGGATCGTATACTGTTTTAATTTCATTTTAAGCAGCCACAATGCCGCTATAATTGGTGGTGACATATATAATGGTTACTCCTATTGAAGTAATCTGAATTAAACTATTGTACACAAGTTCTAAAGAATGTAACTACAAGATTTAACGATGTTGTCTCAGATGAGTGATTGATCAGGTAATAGCATAATGCTCACTCCAGTTGTTTTTTTTTACTGAAGAACATTGTTATCCAATAATCAGGGCTATGAAGGTCAGACCGTCTCGGCCAATGATGGGCGAGGGGCATTGACATGAGCTGTTCTTGCAATGAACGGACGGACACTAGGATTGGCAATGACAGGGCCTGACTGACTAATCCATCCCTCTTCTGACGACAATCATTGGGAATGGGAGGAGGCATCTGAGCTAGAGAAGGCCAAGGATGAACCGGAGAGACATGCATGGGAACAAGAAACGACAGCCTAGCTGTGATCCAGAAGGATTTGCGTTAGTTATTGCAAGGATCAAGACGGTGAAATGAAATGCACCTTTGGTATATGCATAAACAATGACCTCTGACACCATCAGATCAATTGGCAGAATGACTTGTTAGAGCTCCTAATCAGGTCGTTCCTTGTAGCTTCATATAGTAAACATCATAACCCATTGTTCTTTTCCTGATCCTCTTAGCGGGACATCAAGAACTCTGTTACTACTGATAATACGATGCTCAGTTGCAGGATAACTAATGGTTCAAGTCTGACAGCTAAGGCATTATTAGACCATAATGAATTCCTGGTGACTGTGTCCTTTCCTGGCGGTAGTTGTTTTTAGAATCTTAGTTCAGGTACTACTTTTCTCTTCCCTTGTTCTTGCGTTCCTCACTTAGGAAAAAGAAAAGACCTCTACAACGACAGATGAACCAAAGCCAAATCTGCGTCATGATGATGAAGTCTGATGGATCCCATTTACTGTAGATGTCGCCTTGTTATTTTCTTTGAAAGAAGTAAATCTCACCTTATTACACTGCTAACTTTCATAATCTAGAAGTTCATGGGGGGAATTTGTCTAGAGTTCAGCTAGATTTTGATGTGGTAGTTATATGCTGTGTGGGATTTACAAGAATCAATATTTACAAATGAAGGTTTCCCATAGGCTGTTCTGTTGCAGAATGCCAGAAATTGTGAAACATCTTCTGAAGGTTAAATAAGAACAGATAACTCCAACTGGAAGCTTTCCTACTGCTACTGCTCATTCAATAAAAAAAAGAAATATAGTGAAGCAGATCACTGGCGCCAGTAAACAAGTACTGACACAGTGCGCTTAACAAGTGTATCTATCTACCAAACAATTGCAACTTCTCTGAAAGACTGAAAACAAAATGAAGGTAACAACATGCACTCGAGCTCGCTCGCGAGGCACGAGAACCAAAAACAAAGAGGCATGACCTAATGCTTAGCTATAGTTTACCCCATATACAGGAGAGTGGCATATATTAGCAGAATTCGTTATCCCCTTAGAAAGACAGAAACTAGAGGTAGCTAATGATATGAAATGAAGGAGGGGGTCCTATCATGCTTGATATCCATGTCCTATTTTAATTCCATGTGATCTGAATGGGGGCGTCTTAATCCCCTCTTTCTTCTTCTCTGCCTGCCTCAGCTTCAAACACGGCGATTCGCTTACGAGAAAAATCAATTGCAAAACAACTAGTATTTCTCAGCATTAGCCGACAGCTATAAACTACTAGGAGCTATGCAAAACTATACCTGCTGGCAAATTGACTTGGCGCAGCTGCATGTGGACAAGCACCTAATCGCCATACGAATTCGCATTTTGCACTAAAAAACTAGGAACCACTGGTTAAACTATCTGCATTGCTCTGAATGGAGGAGGCGATGGAAAGGAATCTTTTGTCTAAAACTCTGAATGAGAGCCCCCCTCAAGTCTGAACTGAAATCTCCACACCCCCAGTTTAACAACTTCACCGGCAGCAAGACTTTTTGTCCTTGTCATATCCATGACCCGTCCATCTTAGAACGTAATGTAAATATGCGAAAGGATGTGATTAGAATCCTCGCCGCCGATTAAAAGAACGCGGAAACGATGGCGATATGCGAAATATGCTGCTGACTAAACAATGTGGCTGGGAACATGCACTGGGCTCATCTGTACTTGCAATGATGGGGATGCAAGTCAATGCTTGCTTGCTTGAGAATTAGAATCCACATAGAAGCCGGGGCAGGCGAGATTGGGGGTTTTGATAAGCAGGGCCAGCTCATATGAGGACATACGCGCTGAATAATCAAGGATGCCCTCATTGCAAATTGTCAGTATGTCTTTGCAGGATTAAGTATAGGGAATGCTGAGAAAAGTATGTCATCTTGCTAAGCATGTACACTTAAATAATATAAATCAGGCCGTGTTGTGGCTTTTGAGTGGAGGGCTGAGTGGACATTTGTGCTCAAATACGAATCATGGTCGTTTTATGCTTGCATGATGAAGAACAAGATGTGACATTTTTTGTTGTGATCTTGTGTTGGTAAAAAAACATTTTAACTCCCCTCAAGGGAGAACTGGAGAAGAGGAAAACTTTTTTTTTTTAAAACATGGCAGGAGCACTGCCTCTCAACGAAGAGGAAAACTTTCCAAGTGTGTCTTGAGGGAATGAGGGGTAT